CCCTTCTCGTCGGCGATCGTCGTCGTTGGTTCGGGCCATGGGTCCCAACCTTTCAGTCTCACACAATCATCCTCCGGTATCCACCATCCTTTGTCAACCCATCGCAAACCACGCCTTCTAGCCTCCTTCCTTCGGGCTCGTCTCTTCCTTGTACAAGGCTTGCACCAACAGTATGATTCTTTAGTCTTCGCCTTGCGTTTCCTTTGTGCTCGTTTGGTCTTGCGCTTCTTGATCTTCAATTTAGCCCGTGGACCACATCCTTCCGGCCACTCTCGTACGCCTGATGGTCGATAAATCGGACTAGATGGTTCCTCCAACATGTTCTCCAACCAAATATCGAGACCATCGTAACTTTCCTCATCGGACTCGCCGGGGTTGATGACCACTTCCGTATCAGCGCGGACGTGCGTGCGCTGCTGGCTGCCTGTGCGCGGTCTGCGCGCTGGCTGTGCGGGCCCGGCGAGCTTCTTAGAGCCAAATGACTTGGAAATTATTTCTAAGTGTCCGGTTTGACCCCAGCTTGACTTGAACAAAATAATAATAATAATAATAATAATAATAATAATAATAATAATAATAATAATAATAATAATAATAATAATAATAATAATAATAATAATAATAATAATAATAACAATCTCCACTAATTCATAATCAAACGGGGCGTTATAGTCTACCCACCTTACAAAGTATTCCGTCCTCAGAATTCAAAACAAAACAACTAGAAGGCACTAATAATAAATATACAGAGGGGAACTCAAAACATAAAGTTCGGATAACGCCTCCTAATACCGTCCTCCCTCTCCCAAGTTGCCTCAGTCTCATCGTGTCGGCTCCACAACACCTTTACCAAGCTCACTGCCCGGTTCCTCAACTGATGGACCTTCCGGTCCAGGATAGCTACCGGCACCTCCTCATAGGTAAGGTCTCGCTCGACCTGCAGCTCGTCGAAGTCTACCACATGATCGGGATCATGCACATACCTCCGAAGCATGGAGACATGGAACACGTCGTGCACACCTGACAAGTCTGGTGGTAAAGCCAGCCGAAATGCTAAGTTCCCGACTCGATCGAGGATCTCGAACGGCCCAATATAGTGAGGTTTA